TACATAGCATAAGGGCATCAATATGTATCAGAAAATGTATAAAAATTAGGGTGATTTTGAGCATTTTTCGGAAAAACCATGGGCTATAGCCTTGGGTATTTTTCAGAATTTTGGCATTTCTTAAAATGGCCGTGACTCAAAAATGTTTGTCGGAATCAGCTCAAACTTTGTACACAGCATAAGGACATCAATATGTATCAGGAAATGTAATAAAAATTTGAGATGATTTTGGAGCCATTTTTGGAAAAACCATGGGCTATAGCCTTGGGTATTTTTCAGAATTTTGGCATTTTCTTAAAATGGCCGTAACTTTAAAAATTGAAGTCAGAATTGGCTCAAACTTTCTACATAGCATAAGGGCATCAATGTGTATCAGAAAATGTATTTAAAATTTGGGGTGATTTCGGAGCCATTTTTTGGAAAAACCATGGGCTATAGCAAGCTTAGGTATTTTTCAAAATTGGTTGGTTTTGAAAATGCTCATTTTAAAATCAGAAACAAATATTTGTCTATTGTTATTTCATACCATTAACTCTTTGTTCTATTGTTTGCTGTGCTGTAGGTGGTGTCCATGTCCAAAAAACTCAAAGAGAAGGAGACAGAGATATCAAAATTAACGGAATCACTTCACTTCCACACTGAGGGGAACCGTGAGCTGAAGGAACACCTTGATGCTGCACTGAATGAAGAAACAATAGCTAAAATAGAGCAAAGGATTAGCAAGTACAAGACAGAGAGGGACACCACAAAGGAAGCAATGAAGACCCTAAGAGCTTCATGCGATGAACAATTATCACTGAAAGAATCCACCATATTGAGCCTTAGAGAAGAACTGTTGAAGTATCAGGAAGAGAAGCAAGCCTGGGCTGTCAAGTATAAGAAAAGAAAGAGCGAGCTCTCTGAACTCAAGAAAGGTTCTAAGGAAGCCATAGCAAAGCTTCATAGCCAGTTACAAGAGAAGGAGCAACTATTACAGAGTCTTGCTGCACATGATACTGATAGAGATGATGATGATGATGATGATGATGATGATGGAGGAGGTAATAGTGATGCAAATCAGGAGGCAGAGTATGTACATGTAAGTAATGAAGAAGAGATGGAGGAAGATAATGAATTATATCTAACAGCTGTCAACGACTCATTTCAATCAGGACCTTCAGTTCCAACTACAAAACACTCCACAGACATTAAACAAAAAACTTCTCCATCACTTTCACGTCATACTCGATCATCAATCCACAAAAGTAGCAAAGAGGCAATTCCCTGTCATACTCACCTAAGAGGAGCTTCTAAAGCAACCACTTCAACATCATCTCAAGTGATTGTAAGAACAAAGACCGGAGAGAAGCAGTCAGTGATAGTGCCTGGAGTATTGGAAGAGATGCCAATAGGCAGTATTGTAGTGGTGAAGAGAAAGGATGGTATTTATGAGCAAGGACTCCTGAGATATGTTGGAAAGGAACAGTGTGGTGTGGAGCTGGAGCTACCAAGTATGCTTAATACCGTAATACTGTAATTTTAGAGGGCTACAAATTTTGGGAATTTGCCAAAAAAATTTGCAAAATTATATTGTTCGGCTTTTTGACCCGTACTATAAATTAATTTTTGCAAATCTTACAGCCCTCAAAAATTGTGCTGTATGGTAATAATAGTAAAGATTATTTTTATATTTCTTTATAACTATTATTTTGTTAGGAGAAGGAACAAATGGTAAAAATTATGATGGAACCTATAAAGATGGTCAACGCTATTTTCACTGGTAAGGACTAATCCCTTTTTCATGCTTTCCGTTAATAATCTCATTATTATTATTATTATTATTATTATTATTATGAATTACAATAATAATAAATGGCCTAAGAAACAAACACAAGAGATACATGTAGTAGAGGGAGGCAAAAAAAGGAGAACAGAAAAGAGGAAAACAAAAGCAAGAATGAATTATATAATAG